TGGAGTTTATAAACTCCTTATAACATTATGCGTTTCTAATAGTTGCACTGAGATTGCATTAGTTCCCCACGACCGGTCGTTTTTAGTTCTCCAAGATTGGTCCTTTTCCGTCTTCTCCATGATCGTGTTTTCATTTTTTTGTCTCACCGCATACTCTTGTGTACCGGTTCACTGGTGGACCTAGACATCCGTTCTGGCCATGTTGGGTAGTTATCACAGATGAAGAGGACCATAGTTGTTAGACCTTCCAGCTACAACTACAGCTACATTCATGAGTGAGCACAAAAGGAGTGATCCCAAGGCAAGGGCAATCAATTTTATGGATGCAGCCATTGCTAGCAAACTTACATAGGTTGCTTATACAACAGGGACATGCCAAAAGTCCTAGAATTTATAAGGAGAGTTCAATTCTATATTAAGGCTACTTCCGTTTTCCAGAAATTACACATTGTAAATGAATAGTTTTAAATTGTGGGGTTTAGATTATACCTCCAGCTATGTATATTGATATGTGTGTCCATACATACGGCTAAAATTGTATGTTAAACTAAACCGTGTTAAGTTTGTTGTTCATGTAATAAGGAGTTTAAAATGATCGAGGTTGGAAAAATGAAATTAAGAAGTGAACAACATCCACTCAACTAAGATATTTTAAGAGCAATTATTTTGAGTCTCATAATTTACTGACAAAATGAATAAAATTGTTAAACAGTAATTATCCAGATGCCATGAGTTAAAATTTTGACAACTCCTAAAGGTCGAGCATCTAAGTTGGCCTAAATATTGTTGACCCTTAAATCAAAATAAAATAAAATATGGCTATTGGGTGTTGTATATATATATAAAAGCAAATGCCCGTGCCTGAGGACACTGTGTGACACAACAAAATCGCCCGAATAAAAAATCAAACCCACAAAAATTAGCAAATGGGAAAAAAAAATTTAGTAACCAAAAAAGTAATCATAGAACCCACAAATACTAATTGAGCTGAATTTAAATAACCATAATTGACTATCACGTCAATATTTTTAACCCTATTAAATCTTCACATAATAACTCAATACTCATTTCATCTTATAATATTACATAGATGAGAATTATTTATAGCAATGCAACATCATTTCCTCCATGGAACAATAACAAATTTTAGGCTTGATTAAACATCAATTCTTACTCTTGAATAAATATAAAATCCATTAAGCTTGATTTAAAGTAGTCATAGTGGCAACTAAGCAGCCATTAAACTTCATTTAAAGTAGACATGACCCGTACTTGTACTTGAAGGTACTATGTAACAAAAAAACAAAACCGCAAACAATTGTTTTTGTCATATGACACAAAAAATTACCAATTAGAAAAGTTGAAAAAAAATTTCAATCAAAATGGACTCAATATTTTGTTTTAAAATTGGGATAGTAGTCTCTAAAATCATGACCTTGAACAATATCTAAATCCTTCCAGCAAAACCAAAAAACAGCGTAATTTATTACATTAAAAATTATCAAACCAAACTGTAGTGTATCAAAATCCAGAATGGATAGTATCCACATCAAATTTGAATATTGTAAAGCAAAGATAGCATGAAAATCAAAAAAGGAAAGGTAAACTACACAAATAAAAAAGGGCAAACGAACCAACACCTGAATGGTACCTGAAGAATCACAGAGCCTGAAAGGATTAAGAAGGTACCTGAAGTACCTCAACCAAAAAATAATCTATAACAAGTGCATACTAATTGAACGGTACCTAAAGAAAAAAAAAACTGTGGTAATCTAACGCAACTCATAAATTCACCAACTGAAAAACATAGTTGTGAGACAACCACCAGAAAACAAACAAACAAATAGAGGGTGTGTATTAGTGACGGAGTATGTGTTTGTGTGTTAGGTGGGTGTGCCTGTGTGTGGCTGTGGTTCAAGAGGGTGTATGTCTATGAGGCGTGTATGTGTGTGTGAAAAACATGGGTCAAGAATCTTTGGGACAATTGGCCAAATACCTTATAGGTGTCTAAAACTGCTGTCTTTGGGACAATGTATCATTACGAAATAACACAAATTTTTCCTTCAACAATTTTAAAGTCAGAATGATATTCCCCAAATGACTTTGAGTCACTCCACAATCTATAGTCATTAAACAACCCCTACACAGCTAATCATAAGTAAAGTATAGTGCTTTATTTTCATGCAAATTCAGAAATTATTTTTATGTCAATTATTTGACACCGAAATCAAACTTTTCTTGCATTTGTTTTTCAATTGAATTCATCAGGTTTGCCAAATGGGAAACAAGTTGTAGCAAATCTATCTAATAGTAACTCTATATTTCATTTTCTTTTTGATTTTCCCTTGCGATAAAAATTACAATTTACACTGTGTGAGAGGGGCAAATGGACGCAACTACAGACAGCCCCAAAGACATCATGTTTACTCCCAATCTTAAAAAAGGCTATTGAATATTTTCGGTTCAAATATGAAAAAGAATACATATAAATTCGAAGAAGAAAGAAGGGGGTTAAGGGCATGTCAATTGGAGTGAGTGTGTTTACAGTAGCCGAAGAAGGATCACTGGCTCTAGAGAGAAAAATCCACACCGTCACCATAAAAACAACAATAGATAAAGCCCATGAAGAAAAATCAAGCCACTAAAAAAGAAAGGTTATAGAATTCCTCTCAACGATTTCAGCTAATACTCTCTGTTATAGTAATATGTTAAAGGTTACTCTATGCTTCATGTACATCCATGTGAAAGGAGGGACAAAAACCTATCCGATGGAGACCGTAGACGGGGCAATGAGGTCGAAGTTGGGTCCGTCGGTGTTCGGAGAGAGAGATCGTCCACACAAAATAAAAGTTGTTGTCGCTAGGAGTTATCGGAGTGGGTAGAGAGAGAAGATCGAGCAAGAGAGAAAAGAGGAAGGTCTAGAGAGAGGGGAAAGGAAAGAGAGAGGAGAGCGGCAGGAGAAGGGAAGAAAAAAAAAACAAAGAGGAGGAGACTAGGCGTGAGTAAGGGAATGAGAAATGAGAGACGTATGAGATAAGAGAGTTCTGGAATTAGAGTTCTGTTGAAATTGTTGGAGGAGTTTTGGTTGTTGGATTAAAAGTCTATAAATGATCGGTGCTGGTTTGTGTTAACAGTGCGTGTGTGTGTGTGTGAGAAAGAGAGAGAGAGTGAGGAGCGTACGTGAGCAGTGCAGCAAGAGAGAGGGAACAACGGAGTATTGCGGAAGAAATCAATTGCGTTGGAAGAGATAGGAGAAATAGGTAAAGATCCCCTTATCAAATATCGGGACTCACTAGCCACTATTAGGCTTCATGAATTACAATGCTAATGCTCATTAAATTAAATCTCAATATCATTGTTCAAACGTTAATAATCATGAAGGTGAGATTCTATCCTTATCGATATCACAAGAAAAAAGTAATAGGTTATATACAATTAAATATATTTAAAAAAAAAGTTCATATTTAATGTCAAAAAATCAAAATTGATAGTCCAACACAAATGTTAGAAGTGAATTACAAGAAGGGTGAATGACATTTTATTCTCTGAAAAATTCTTTTTTTTTTTTTTTGGGAACCTCGACGGCAAGAGGGAGTTTTATTGATCAAAAAATTAAATTACACCTACCTAGGGGGACATATGTATCTTACCTTTTGATGCGATCTAACTAAATTGATGGAAGTGAAAATGAAAAAGGCAAGAATGCATGCATAATACAAATAATAATGAAGTATAATAAAGATAAAACATGCTGCCTCAAATATATGGTAGTCTCAGTGAGCTAAGAGACGAGCTGAGGGTATGAGCTTAGAGGAATAATAAGCTGTGAACGTAAGCTTAGAGCACTGGCAGCTAAAAGGTGGAAGAGCAAAGAGCAAGGGCGGAGCCAGGATTTTTGTTTATTCCGGACTAAGTTAAGTATTCATACGACTAACAAAACACAAATGTAAACTCATAAACATATATACAATAATACAAATGTAAACTCATAAACTTTTAGTTGATATGATCATGAATTTTCTGTAAGCAGACTAAACTTTCAAGTACATCAACTCTTTTGGCCGGAAAAAATCAACACAGAGACCTTATTGACCATATTAGAATATTATCTTAGTACAATCTTTATCGTTGACAACAAACCATATTCAAGTGATCAGTGAAAAAAACAAAAGAAACAACTAGGGCCATAACAAACAACGAAAAATATGACAATATAAAAGCTTGTTACAAGTGATGAGACTTCTTGTACAAACAGAAATTTCAATGTAATATGGTAAGCAAACAAAAAATACAAGCATAACAATGACTTTCTTAATAATGCACCTTTCACAAACATCCATTTTAAGACACCAAAAAGCGACCCAAACTGGAATGGGTCAATCACAAACTCCCTCTGGAGTGTTAATCGAACACCTCTGAAGTGAAATCAAAAGTTGAAAACATCCCAAACTAAAATGGGTCAATCACAAACTCCATCTGCAATGTCAATCAAACACCACTGAAGTGGAATTCAGCGTTGAAAACATCCCAAAGGCTCCCAATGAAGAGATAGTACAAGCCACAAAAGACACCAAAAAATGACTCAAAGTGGAATGGGTCAATCAGAAACTCCCTTTGGAGTGTTAATCGACACCTCTAAAGTGGAATCAAGAGTTGAAAACATTCCAAAGGCTCCGAGTGAAGAGATTGCAATTCGGTATAAAGAATTTAAGAAAATATTCGAAAAATTGAAAATTCATTGAGATGATCTTAATTTATTTTTTCAAAAATCATCATAACTACCGGGGCATCAAGCAGACTCAAGCAATGGCGTTGGTCGTTGACATTAGCACACCAGCAGTCTCCGGATTACTACTGTTGGGAAAGAAGAGTCTTGTGGACAGATTAGTTCCATCGACTAAAAGGTTGGCAAATGTATGCTGGGCTGGGTTGGGTTGGGTTGACTCTAATAAATTATTATTATTATTTTTTTACCCTGGGTTTCAGCCCACCACAGCCCACTAACAACTTTGCCCTTGGCTGAGAGCGTTGATAGCTAATGGAAGAATGCGCTGTAGACATGAGCTAGGAACTTTGGCAGCTGAGAGGATGACAGAGCTGGGAGCAGGAGCTGAGATCGTTACCAACTGATGGGATACTGAGCCAAGAGTATTGGTGAGCTGAGAGACATAGCCTTGAGCATGAGTTACGAGGAAAGGCAAGCTAAGGGTGTTGAGCTGGGAGCATTTAATTAAATGCATGGTTAATCCGATAAAGGGCAGGTGAGGAGGCAGATAATGTGATAAGGCTATGCGTCTGATAAGGAGTTTGATGAGGCGCCTGATAAGGTAAATGAAAAGCCAACTGATAAGGAAACTCTGGAGCCAAATTGGTAATCCCCTTGCTAGGTAGATGGGTAGCCACAGAACGATACACAGAGAATTTCTCAGAAAATTGAGAAGTCCTACCATGAACTCTGATGAAAACTCTTCTTGCTTTGCACCAAGGAGAAGATGAACCAGCCATTGAAGATATGCAATATGAAGACCAACAGAAGGCATGTGGAAGCAGAGAGTGTTTCCAGCAGAATGCAATGAACCCCAAAACTTGACTCTGAATCCTCCAATCTAATGAATATCCAGCAGTCCTCTACTGTGCAAGTGAGGAACACCACGATGTGTGCCCAGATGAGTGAGAGAAGACCAGATGATATGAAATCCAGTATAAAGAAATCCCAAATAACAATCAAATGTGGACTTGACGTATGGTAGCATATGAATAACAGAGCATCTGAAGAATCAGAAGACCAAACTGTTATGAGAAAAGCCCATTAAGCGAGGGAACTGAATTGTCTTGAAAAACCATAGATCCCCAACATGTTCGATGGAATCTCCAGCTTTCCAGCGATAAAACTGATCGGCCAAGCTCAAGGGCCCAACTCATATTGTAAGCCCGGCCCGAGTTAAAAATCCATCTTTAGGAGATCTAACAAGTTCAGTTCAATGTGGTCAATATGATCAAACTGATCATGCTCAAGGAGCTACATCAGCAGGGAGCATGCAACGATCATCCCAGATCCTCCTCTTAGCCACTTTAGAGTAAGGGTTATCCAAGAGCCTCATCCAAGTCGTCTTGGAAGAAGTTAACTCTCACCTCATCATTTGACCGAGTCTCATGGAGAGTATCTCAATCGTCGCGCCCGTTGAGAAGAAGTTGCCAGCTCCACCAGAATAGTTATTTAGTTGTTATTAAGTCGCCCAAATATGTTATGAGACGACTATAAATTGTAAGCCCCACCAATACTTGAGGGCAGATCACACTATTGAGCACGACTCTCTCTTCTCCCCCTCAATTTGTAACTCTCTGCTCTCTTGTATACTTGAGTAAATAAAATACCTGGCGACCTTAGCCATTCAAAAGTGGATGTAGGTCACTTTGACCGAACCACTATAATTCTTGTCTTCTTTCTACTTTAATTACTACATTTATTACTCATATTTGACAGGTGGTGTACAAACCTAATTTGTATACAATCAGTTTGGCGCCGTCTGTGGGAACGACAAAATTCTCACTTCTAATCACTCTCTATGTTGAACCTATGACAATTATCACTAGATCTATGAATCAACCGGAGGATAATCCACCACGAGAGGAGGAGGTTGCTTCTCCACCAACCAATCTTGCCACATATGCTTCTGTCCCAAATGCACAGCAAATGTTGAAGACCATGCAGTAGTTTGTGACCCAAAACCAGCAGATCATGTAACTCAAGCTCGCTAGACAAGGAGGAACACAACTTGTTGGACCCCAAGCCAGAGGAGCTCCATGCACTGGGCATCAAGGAGCTCCGGGCATCCCTTTTGGAGCCTACTTGGGCGCCCTACATAGGGGAGCTCCCTATGACGGACTTCCACCTCCTCTTCCAGCTGCTGCTCCTCATGATGAAGATCTTCATTTCCAAGAAAATGATGGTGATAATCAAAGCATGGAGCATGGAAGCCATTTTCATGGTAATTCTAGAGGACCTCTCAATCAGTGGGACGAAAAAATTAAAGAGGTGCAAAATCAATTGTGTGACGTCTTTAACGCTATGAAGGCATAGGGACCCGAGACAATGGAGTACCTCGTAGGGCGAACCGACATGCCTTTCAAACTTGACGTGACCAACTACCCATTTCTTCAGAAATTCAAGATGCTATCTGTCAAAACCTTTAATGGTACGAAGGATCCACTGGACCACTTTGAAACTTTTAAGACCTTAATGCAGCTATACAACGTCCCTGTTGAAATTATGTGTAGGACATTCCCAACTACCTTGAAGGGATCAGCATGACAATGGTTCGCCAAACTCACCCTGGCCTCCTTAGGTTCCTTCGCCGAACTGAACAGATCCTTTGTGGCACAGTTCATTGGTGGACGCCTTCAACAGAAATCTGCCACACATCTGCTGTAACGTCTCAAAACATACCTTGGACGGTATTACATTCTAAAACCATTCATATCATGAGAGCACTAAGATAATCCCTTAAGAAACAAGACTTCATTTGTCATCCACGAATATTTACAACATTATCTAAAAGAATAAACCCAAGTCATGACTATTACATCTCAAAAATTAATTAAAGAAGCGCAACAGAATAAACAAAAGAAGCTAGACTACACAATATTCCAAAAGAATGTCCTAGTCTAGTACAAAAGGAAAGGATGTCGCTCTATGCGTTCACCTCGGGATCCACACTCCCGTCCAGTGGATTCTCCCAAGTAGCGGGCTCCTCGACCCTTATGTCCTCTTGCTCAAGCGGGTAATCTGAAAAATGTTAGCGATAGAGGATGTGCACGAAACTCTGTAGAAAAATTCTCCCAAACCCATACAAGGTTTAGAAAAATATTTAAAACAGTCGGTCTCAATTTTAACATATCATAGATACATAATTTGAAATAAAGCAGTGACATTAAAAAGGATTTCAAGTTTATTTAAAAATATTACTTAAATGAATAAACGAGTACCACATACAAATAATAACCATTAATTGCCATAGCCAATTCCCAACAATTCTTTCGATAGGTGACATACTTTGTGGTAACCTCCATCCCTTTTTAGGTCACCTTTGATTTTCAAGCATTCTTACCAGGAACCTCTTGAAAATGGATGAACATCCTTACATGGAACCTCTCACCAATCACTACATTATTTCTCAAGCATCTTTACCCGGAACCTCTTGGGAAGGGGTGAGCATCCTTATAAGAAACCTCTCACTCATGTGCATCACAAACAACCCAACCAAGCATACAATTTTAACATTTATCTCAATTTACAAGCATCTATCCAAAATTCCCAAAATATATCATTTAACAATTCCACAACCAACTAAAAAAATACATGAGATCACAATAACCTCATTTTTCTACCCAACACAAAGTACTAAGGTTTTGAAATCTATAATAAAGAAAACATTTAAGAAGGAAATACATCACTCTCCAAAAATTAGGGTTTTAAAACTAGAAAGGAGATTTCATGGGTATTAAACCCTACTTTGTTCAAAACATGTAATCCTTGCAAAAAGCCTAAGAGAGGATGATTCCATAGTATGTATATACCATTGATAGCCAAAACATACATATATAAATACCCTAACCTCAATGTAAGTGAATGAGAGAAAACCCCTACCTTGAATCCTTAGCTTTGGAGTGAAGAACAAGAATATTTGATCTTGAATCACCCTTGAATCTCTTGTTTTTCCCTTCATTTCTTCTTGTCTAATACCCTCTAGGGTTTCAAGAGGTGTGGGGGTGTGAGGGGAGTGAAGGAAATGAGAGCAAATGAGATGAAAATGAGTTTAAAATATAGCAGCCCGAAAAATATTGTTCACAGGCTGTTTTGGGTTTCTCCAAATTTACGATTTTACCACTAAAAATTTTCAATTTGATCCATATGACTATCTTAAGATTTGTCGACTTTCCGAATTCATTTTTAATGTTATTTTAACCTAATCATTTATTTTTATGATTTATCTCAAAACCCAAGTCAACGTACACCCGAAACACTAAAGTTTCTATTTTACCCATCTGAATCGGCTATTAATGAAGTTTTGCGATGTTTGCAAATAAAAGGTGATAAAAGGTGTTTCTTAAAGTCTTTTATACTTATTTGAAGCATAAAAGTACTCATTATTCTTATATTTTGATTTAGGATGCAAATGGAGACATTAAATGCAAAACGAAGCTAATTAGACTATTGCGACATCGTTTCGTTATCTGAGCATAATTTTCTCATCCAAGCTCCGATTGAGATGACTCAAGATGCTATGGAATGATACGAAAGAGCTCTAAAACTTCATGTTTTGAGTTTTGAGAGATATTGACTGCATCAAGGTCTAAATCGACCTTGAAGTTGCAGCAGTGCACTGTTCACATGCACTGTTCACAGCCTGTCTTCGTCCTTTTTCCATTTCCAATCCATTCCTAAGCCAACTAAATCCATCCCAAACCTCTCCAACACATATTTCTACACCAAACCTATTTAATACAAGTTCTAGGACCTAAAATTTCATATTTTCACTTATTAAAACCAAATTTCAACTATTATTTTCACTAACATTTTAAATTTCTACTTTTTCAATCTACCAAATTCAAACACACATCACTACATATATCCACATTTTTTTTACCACAATTATTCACTATATATCTATATACATATATAAAAGAAAATGCGGGGTGTTACATCTCCTCAGCATAAAACAGGATCGTAATGAGAGTCTGAGGAGTCACCTCACTCATTTTAATGTGAAGGTCCTCTAAATCGAGGAGCCCATTGACAAAAGTCACCATGACCGCCTTTTTGGGAGGCCTCCGCTCATCGAGTTTCCTCTTTTCAGTAATGAAGCGACCACCAAAGAGCATGTCAGAACTATTGAAAAAATCTCAAAAATATATGAGTGCTGAGGAAATCAACAGGTCTAGGTGAGGTGAATCATCTCACAGATCGCCAAAAGTTTGACCTGCCTCTGCACTGTTCTCAAACAGACAGTCTATCTCCAGCTTAGCGGCTCTCTTGCGGTTGCTAAAAAGCTTGGCCTCTGTACTGTTCACAGACAGACAACCTATCTCCAGCTTAGCGGCTCTCTCGTGGGTCGTCAAAAAAGCTGTTTGTGAATTTTGATATTGTACCACCGTTACAAATTTATGGGTATTTTTACAATTTTTTTTGGTCATTTCATAATTTTGTGGTAACTTGTGATCCTAAAACAAAATGTAACTTGGTCTAAAAAAATTATAATTCAAAACTTAAAAGTTATAACTTGACCCAAAAAATTATAAATTTTTTTTGTTATAAAAAAACCTAAAAATTTGTATCAAGATTCAGAAAACTCATAAAATTTGGATGTAATATCGAAATTTGTTTTTCGGTAACGTAGTCTTGTCCTTCTTTAGACTTGGGAAGGGATTATAAATTGGAAGTCAGACAAAATGATGAGCTCCACAAAGTCAAATGTGTGGCAAAGGTTGCAGCTATTTGATGATTCTAGGTATCAATGACAATCCTAACCCCATTAGTCTT